CCATTAGGCAGCTGCCTAGGGCCTGGGCTCAAACAGAGCACGGTGGGCTCAAACAGAGCATGGTGGACTCCCCTATTCTTATATCAATGTTGTCTAAGGATTGCATGCAAATACGTAACATGCTTGGAGTATCCATTTAATTAGTCTTGCATGAAAATCATGTTTGGCTGCCAGGTATATTCGCTTTACCTTGTCCAATCTATTATTTTAGTTTATTTTCTGCATTGCATGGTTCTTTACAATATGGCCAATGGTGAATGTGCTGTATGTGATAACAGAAAAACTGTAATCCTTAGACACACTCAAAGCCTGTCTTCTTAAAATAAAAAAAAATAAAAAATTATGGCTTTGGTTAGGGTAACATTAAGAATATGTTTCCATTCCTATTTTAACCTCTTAAGGACGGCATGTGTTCTATGCAGTCTTTTTTTGAGCGGTCCTAAACACCGGAGGTTGGCATAGAAGGGGATTTAAAGGTCCCCGCCGATCCCACGACGGCAATATATAATTGTATTTAGGTTATGGTGGGGAGACTTGCGCTATATATATATATATATGTATATGTATATATATATATATATATATGTTAGGTGCTTATGATAGTACAGTGTGAAATACCATAAATAAATGTAGGATAGTAAAAAGAGCAAGTCGGCTGTGGTGTGCCGGAACCGACGATGAGGTAGGCCTGAGAAAGAAGAGGGGCCTACCCAGGGAAAGAAAATAGAAAATAAATGTTAAAATGTGGTGTGGTGGGAGGGTCATTCAACGCTGACCTCGAACGGTAAGGAGCCAGGTAAGGGGAGTGCCTTAAGTAGGCTAGGGGTAGCAAACCAGCACCTGCCACAAATCCAGGCAAATTGCCTTAATACTTATGTTAGGTGCATATGATAGTACAGTGTGAAATACCATAAATAAATGTTGGATAGTAAAAAGAGCAAGTCGGTTGTCGTGTGCCGGAACCGACGATGAGGTAGGCCTGAGAAAGAAGAGGGCAAAAATTAAGTAATCAAATTTATTACAGACAACCAATACATATACATTTTATCAACCAGACATGTTTTTGAAAGCATCCCTTAATTCTTGTACTGGGTTTGGTATGTACCGTGAGTAAGCGGATGACTTCCAACGCCCCAGTGTTTTGATAACATGAGTTGGGATGTTGACACTGGAGGCCGTGGACGCGGCTCCTATACGAAAGGAGTGCCCTGAGTATTTGGCTGCGTGGAGGCCCAGTTGTGTGAGCAAGGACCTGACGTAGGTCATGAAGGTTGTAGTGGTGAGTACTGCACCTTGTAGCTGTAGTAATGGTTGTGAGGGCAGTAAGTTATGATGCTGTATGTAGGCATCAAGAACCCTGACGGGACACCATCTGTTGTGCGTGGGATAGTACGGAATATTTACGGGTATGTGCTGACTGGTTTTGGAGTGAGGTAAAGTCAGGATGTAATGATCCATATGTTTTGTCAAGTGGGAATAGAGGAGGAACGGAGTAGTTTGATTCATGGAGGTTGTAGTGAATTCTCTAGGTCTTAGAAATCCATAGAAAGCGATGTATATTGCCGTTTTGATCACAGAATTTGTATTGGTGTCAAATGGTTTTAAAGGGACACTGTAGTCACTATAAGCATTTCATCTCTTTGAATTGGTTATAGTGCCTAGAGTACCCTGGCACTGTCCCTCCATTCAGTGTTGCACTATGTTCGTGCAGTATGCCACAAAATAAGAGTCCCTGGCCACCCACAGTCCGGCCCCTTCAGTATGTGTAGCTAAGGCAGCGATTACACACTTCCTTGTTGTCCTACCCACTCATACTGTCAGTTGGAACACTGACAGGCTAAAAGCAGTCAGCTGACACTCTCAGCCAATCATAGCTGCCCATTTCTGCTCAGGCTAATACTTCCTTATTAGCAAAAGCAGCACAGATGGGATGGATTGCCGGGGACTCTTGTTTAGCATTAAAACTTTAAAAACTGTTTAATGCTGATAGAAATGATGGGACCAGAAGACTCCAGACATTATAACCAGTTTGAGATGAAGCAGGTACAGTGCCTACAGTGTCCCTTTAAGTCAAGCAGGTTAGACAATGCTTTGAAGATATGGTTATCGATGGGTAGCCTCTGGGTAGTATGTGTGGGTTCTGATTTCTGAATACCTCTGAGTATGGTCTTAATTTGGTGAGAGGCCATGAAACTGTTATTTGGGTGTAAGATTAGCATGTGGTGTTGAATGCCAGTGAGAGAGAGTTTGATGGTGTTATATGACATTTTAAGTTTAAGGTGGCAAAAGGAAGCAAACCCCAAAAAAGATGTCATAACAAATGGTTGCATGATGTTATGTTCCAAAAGGAATCGTATGTCTGCAGCTGTGTTACATACACCTGGAACATGGAAACAACATAGGAAAAAATTATGACAAGCTGCCAACCAAGTGAGTTTCCTCAGAAATCTCATGATCGTAAGGGATTTGGAACAACCTTTGTTGATGGTGTGACAGGTTGCCTGGTTGTCTGAGTACAAGGCACTGGCAAATTAGCCCATACATGACCCCATGCTACGGCAGCCGCCACGATGGGATAGATCTCAAAAAGAGCTGAGGTAGTGGAAACACCTTCCAAATTCTGAACTGCTGAAGGCCAGCTGCCCCAAAGCCATTCGTTCCCAAAAATTGATGCAAAACCAGTGGTAGATGCCGCATCTGACCAAATAATAGGAGATGATTCAGTCAATTGAGGGAGGAACATACTTTTACCATTCCAAGTGGTTAAAAATCTTTTCCACGTGTTTAGATCTGCCGTAGCTTGGGTATCTAAAGACAACCTGTGCGTGTCATATAGGAAATGTGGGAAAAGATGCAATAGTCGTGATATAAAGGAGCGGCCTTGAGGTATGATGCGCATAGCAAAATTTAGTGACCCCAGCAGGGACTGTAGTTCTTTGCGGTTGCAAGTACCGAGCTGAAGGTAGCTGTTTATGTAAGTGAGAATATTCTCTATCTTATCGTGTGGTAGGCTCGCTTGCATTGTGGCCGAGTCTAGTTGGATACCCAGAAAAGTGATAACTGTGTCTGGCCCCTCTGTTTTCTTTGGGGAGATAGGTACACCTAGTTGCTCAAATAGCTTAGTGGTAGCTTTGAGACTAGTAGGAGGTGAAGTATTCTCCTTGATCAGTAGGAAATCGTCCAGGTAATGTAATACCGTATGGCATCTGGCTATGTTCAATAGTAACCAGCATAATACTTCGGCAAATGTGTCGAAAATAGCTGGGCTACTTTTGGACCCAAAAGTTAACCGGGAGAAAAAAATAGTAGTTCCTGGACCACTTGATGCCATGCAGGTGCCACAGTGTGGGGTGGATTGGTAGTAATTTAAAGGCGTTAGTAATGTCGGTCTTACTGAGCCAGGCTCCAACCCCTGCTTGTATGATAGCGGTAATGCCGTGATCTATGGTGGTGTATTGCAGAGCGAATTCCTCAGAGGGTATGATGGAATTAAGACTGGGGTTGGCCGATGAGTGGGGTGCCGATAAGTCAATGATGAGTCTCTGTTTTTGGGAAAATTTCCCTGTGACAATACCAATGGGGTTGGTGCGCCATTCTATGAATGGAGGAGTTTTGAAAGGCCCCAATACGAAACCCTCATCTACTTCTTGGGCTATGAGGGTGTCAACTGCTGTGGGGTTGTGTTGGGCGGATTGTAGATTAGGGCATTCCAGAGTTCCGGCTGGTATGTGTAGGATACCTGTATGGAAGCCTTCTGTTAAACCAGAGATGGGAAAGTCTACTAGGTGTTTAGATGGGTGCTGAGACATAAATGCTGTGAATACTGGCATATTAATGGGCGTTAGGTAAGGCTTGGAATACATTTTATTTGGACACATGGTCTTTGCATGTGCCCTAAAACATTTTGAACAGACATGCAATAGTCTACATCCACTGTAATTACAAGACCCAACATTAAAATTATTACATATCTGGGACTTGCCCAGAAACTTGATTGGGCGTCCCAGTTTGTCTCTTGACAACTTCTCTGGAACCCCAGAGGAACTAGCTCCTTTCGTGGAGGCATGTTCGTCCGCAGTGTTGGGAGAAAAATTTGTAGTATGTGCTGTGGAGGAGCAGTATGCACAAGCTGGTGTTCTTAGACCTGCAAAAATGACGGTATCAATCCTTCCCCAGTTGGATCGTGTTCCGTACTGGTAGAAGGCTCCAGACACTTTTGCAGAAAAAAGACCTATGGTAGTCATAGAAGGCTGAACCACCATATTTGTTGCCCAGGTCTACCAGCTTGTGCATATAGAGATCAAACTCCTCTCTTCTGTTGGGATAGACCGCACAGATGACATCCCTGTAAACACCAAAAGCGAATACAAATTCAGGGATAGTAAGTTTCCTGTTCAGGCGGGCATCCCTAGATCTGACAACAACAGATACATCATCATAAGCATACGTCTTATTCTCAACAATATCCTGGGAGGCAATCAACAGGGAAGCCAGGTTGACGTCTTTAACTTCCAGGCTAACTTACTGGTCATCCAGGGTGATGGCTGGAGCAACTAATGGCAAGTCGGCTGGTGCTTGTGAAGCAGCAGCGGATGGCCCTGCCAGAGTAAGGGCCGTGGTGACCAACTCAAGTTTCTCCAGCCTGGAGTTGACCTTGTTCATGGACGCCATGCGTGAGGATAACATGGCATGTATGTCTCCTGGGTTGGACTGGCTAGGTCCTTCCCCGGCATCCATGTTATTTGTCGATGTGCGTAGCAGTTTGAAAAGTTCTGCTTTCCTTGCTGTAGCGGGGCAGGGGATTTGTAGTCTCCTCAACTCCGTGGTTATACGCCGGATCGTCCAGGATCTGATCGATGCTGGACTAGCTAGCTCTCCTCCTTGTGTGGGAGTGACAGCTCTAGCCGGGGTGCTAGGCAGGGAGAAATCCTCTACCCCTTCCTGAGACATACTATAAATAAACAATTAATTAGTATATGAAACCACCAAATTGTACTGGCAGGCTAGCTAGGCCGGATGGCGAACCATTATACTTGTTTGGTGACAGATGAGGCCCTGCTAATTGCCAAGCGGCTTGAGACGCTCTATCTATGCGTTGCCCCGAGGGGTTATTGAGGCCACTCGACATAGTGGCAGGAGTTTTAGGCCTCTCGGTGACTGTAAGACAGAAAACAGGGGAAGGGAGTGACAGGTGAGGCCCTCTCTATGCAACATGCAAGGCGGCTAGCTAACGTGTGGCCCGATGGGTGTTTGCCTCTGAAACGTTTGAGGCGGGTGTTGGTCTTGCGGGACCACTAACTGATGGCAACTGCCAAGACGGGGTAAATACCTGTTGGGATGCCTGTGACCCTATTGCCAGTACTCTAACCTAGGGGGACGAAATTAAATGTATGGTAGAACACCATATGAGCAGGTGTACGTACCTGGTAGTATGACAAATTCACAGGAATAAACCGTGTGGAGCAAATATATATAAGCTTGACAGCCTGAAATGGGTAAATGAGTAGTATGATGAGTGTTGATTGTTGGAAAGAAAACAGCCTTATAGCCTGTAGCAGCAATGTTTTTGAAAATGTTGATACCATGGGAATAGATATGAGTTACTCAGAAATGTTGTCATGCTTAAATAAGACATCTGAGGGAGGCCTTGGCCTATGTACAAACAACATATGTGTTTATATGATAATGGTGTATAAGGGAAACATAAAATGTAGGATATATATATATATATATATATATATATATATGTATATTACTGTGCAGGAAACGTATGATTGGTTGGATCAGTACGTGTGATTCAACCCGAGTATGCATGAAAAGGAATTAAAGCCTTATGTGTCATGGTCATAACAAAGAAATGAGGCCTGTAACATAGGCTGAGTTAATTGAAATGAAATGGATAATTATGAAAACTCCTGTAAGTGTGGGAGTTAAATGATCCATACAGAAATGTAGCTGGTTTAATAGAAAAGAACATGGATGAGGGTCATGGCCTATTTTACACAGCGTTATGTGTGATATGTAATAGAATAACAAAAGGGGCAGGGATACAAAAATGCTTAAAGTGATGCAAAGTAATGTGCATATATATGATATATCTGTATTGAAAAAGATGTATGATTGGTTGGATCAGTACGTGATTCAACCTGAGAATTTATTGCTTGTCAATGAAACTGTATCCTTTGTATGTGTCGTAATAACAGAAATGAGGCCTGTAATGTAGGCTGAGTCCATTTGGATAAATGGATAAGTAATGCAGACCCCTGAAAGCGTGGGAGTCAAAATGATCTATACAGATAAGTGAGCTTGGTTGTATGGACATAATACAATACTGAAACATTTAAAGGGTAATAGAAATAATCTGTCTATTTAAACAAGCAATTCGTTAACCGAATGTATATACACGAAATGGTGAATATAATCCATGAAAGGATTATGCGTAATACATAGAAATACAACCAAAACCCAATGTGAGTGAAAACAGAAGTTGGAACGAATAGTTTAAACGTATGAACTTATGCGAACCGCAAGCGTGTTTGAACGTGTATTGAAAATTGCCGAACGGCAAAACAACTGAATTGATAATCCGTTTCAATGTAACATGGAATTGTTATATGCGAAATTACTATTTGTATGAATATACTGTTCAGCCAAATGACCGTATGAATGAAAAAGCCCGCGAACGGCTTCAAACATTCGTGTCATAACCAGGGGAAAAAAACGTAAAGCGAGGACCCGTGCTGTACCGTACGCCGTGGGAACCGGTCCTGGCGTGACAGGTGGGTCTGACTTACGGTTTAGGAGTCCCTGGGACGCGATCTACGACGAAGACCGCGGTCAGAAGAAGCTGGACAGGCGGAACAAGGCTGAACAGGATTCCTCGACACAGCTATCGCGGTAAAACCCCGTGGATACTGAAACCAAGATGACGTCTGAGAGAACCCGGAAGTGGATCCTCATTCAACGCTGACCTCGAACGGTAATGAGCCAGGTAAGGGGGGGGGGTGCCTTAAGTAGGCTAGGGGGTAGCAAACCAGCACCTCCCACAAATCCAGGCAAATTGCCTTAATACATATATATATTTATTTACAGAACAGAGGTCCTTGCACTCACGCTTAAATGTCCTACTGTCATACAGTGGTGTAGTTTTCTGGGTGCCAGTCCTTCTGGGGATAAAGATCCCTATTTTGAAATTTGAAGTCCGTGAGTGCAGCTTACATTTCTGCAAATTGGTATTTATCAAAGGATAAATACCAATTTGCAGAAATGTAGGCTGCACTCACGGACTTCAAATTTCAAAATAGGTGCTTTCTTCCATTAAACAAAAAAAATCAACGTTTCGGTTCGCACAGGGACCTTCCCCAGGATGAAATGACACAAACATCAAGTGCAAACAACATCAAACCTATATCTATAATCATTATATCAAAGTAACTTACCCCAGATGTGATGCATAAAACCCGGTGTTCCCATTTACTCACCACGCATGTGCTGAAGTAGAATGACTACCCTTTAACCCGCATTTGCTACGTAGAGACGTATCACGGCGCCGTAACCCCGGCAACGTTGTCAGTCTCCATAGTAACCGCTGCGGGTAAAGTTATAATTAGGTGCCGTGTGAGTCAATGAGACAGCCACTAGAGGCTAGATTAACCCATTTGTAAACATTGCAGTTTCTCAGAAACTGCAATGTTTACAGCAGGCAGAGTTAATCCTAGATGGACCTGGCACCCAGACCACTTCATTAAGCTGAAGTGGTCTGGGTGCCTATAGTGGTCCTTTAAGGACAACATTTAATGCTGCACATTTAAATTCATCGTATTTTACCTGTGTATAATTTTATTTTATGTTTCTTTAATTCCACTTACCTGTCATTGTAACACCTTGTGCAATCTGGGTGTGTGTATTTAAGTGTAATGTGTGTGTATGTGTATATATAGAGTACCCCCTAATACTGTGAGGGGAAATAAAGTATTTGATTCCCCAGCTGATTTTGAATGTTTGTCACTGACAAATGATCAGTCTATAATTTTAAAGGACCACTATAGGCACCCAGACCACTTCAGCTCAATGAAGTGGTCTGGGTGCCAGGTCCATCTAGGGTTAACCCTGCAGCTGAAAAGATAGCAGTTTTCAGAGAAATCTAGTGGCTGGATTAACCTCAGTGTAGTCTCACTGACAGCCACTAGAGGCTGCTTCCGCGATTCTCATTGTGAAAATTAGTGAGAAGACGCTGACGTCAATAGGAAAGCATTAACTAATGCTTTCCTATGGGCAGTTTGAATGCGTGCGGCTCTTGCCGCGCATGTGCATTCAGCGTTGACGGCGGCAGGCGGAGGAGAGGTCACCAGCGCCGAGGGAGGGAGCCATGAGGGTGGTGGGGACCTAAGGAGTACATGCAATTTTAATTGACATTATTACACATATTCGCAAAATCTCTTCCAAAGGTTGGCTCTAAATTCCTCATTAAGATTCATCCTTCCACATTTCCGATAGACCCACATATACTACACATTCAATCAAATCATTACAATATATCATGACAAACATTGTGACAAATATACACTGCACCACCATAAATAACACATATCATACAGGTGGTTACCCCGAGAGGCCACTACACTTTCTACCACTCCAAAAAATAAAGATCTCAGGGAAAATCAACCGCTGGTGGTATTTGCGGCCAGGTAAATCATTATAGAGCACACTCCATCCAAAAGTCATAGATCTTCCATTTTACATTCTAGTGCTGGTTTCAACTTTTTCTAAGATTATGAAAGGATAAATAAAACTGTGAGGGGAGGGAACAAGGTTCAGGCAACATAATAATCATACATTGAAGATCAAGTGGGCATAACCATATTTTCTCAAGATGTTACAATAGTTATCAAAAATAAGTGCAAAGTGATGCTTAATCTATATTAAGTCATAGTATCAAATTATATAATACCCATAATGGAATAGCATTGTGAATTTCCTGTTTTGAACTCGACTTTTATACATTTTTTGTTTTGTTTTTTTATCTCCCCATACTACCCATTCTCCCTTCATACCTCCCTCGCTCTCCCTTCCCTTTTATATAAATTAATAAAGTGAGTTTATTTACATTTTCCCCATTATAACCAGATATTGTAATTTGTGTCACAGTGATTCTCGTCTTAACTTTTTAAAATACATTTATTATATGTGCAAAAAATATTTATCTTTGTCTTTATGGCGAACTAGATCCTTAAGTAATAATGAGATTTAGAAAATGTGTATACACCTAACCAATATGTAGGTCAATATAAGAAAGATGCGATATTACCAAATATAGTGACGTTAATTCTTAATTTCTTGTAATCTTAAAGTTACACATGGTTTCTATTATCCTCTGCTTTTAGTTTTATTCCTTTACTTATTTAGATGTAGAGATTAATTCACTTTTATTCCCAGATTTTTTTAACTTGGGAAGCTCTTCAATCCGGTCTATTATAGAAATACTCTTGTTATGGAATATTATCAGTTTAGTGGGAAAGCCCCACTTATAGCTGATATTTTTGGATCTCAATTGTAGCGTTAAATCTTTAAATCTCCTATTTAATCTCAGTTAATTTATTATCCACATCTTTGATTTGGTTTTTAAGAATTCAATTTTGTGACTTAAGTGATGCAACTCATTTTTTTCAATTACTTGATTTTGTTCAACCATCTTTACATTGAGACTGGATACCTCTTTAATTACTTCCGAGATGTTTTCATTAATATCCTTTTTAATTTTCTCGTATAGCTCATCCATCAATTTAGTAAGACTTTGGTTTGTTATATTTTCCAAAGGGTAAGTAGGATTTTCTGGAATTAATATTTTTGAACCTGGCTCAACCGTGAGAGAGGGGGATATAGATCTACTTTGGGATTTATTGGGATCTGATTTTGGAGAATAAAATGTGCTTATAGATTTATTATTTTCTGTCTTATCCAAAAAAATCTTCCCCTCTAGATAAGATGAAGTAAATAACTTGTCCACTAAAAATAATACAAATCCATATTCCTTTACAGAAAAAAATAATAATAATGAATCTTAAAAATACACTCTTACTAATTGAGAAATATTTATTCTAATACATAAAATATATATAAATGAAAAATAATAAAATTAAAATTATAAATACAAATGAAAATAAAATTGAAATGAAAAATAAATATAAAAATTAAAATAAAAATAAATATGAATGAAAATAAAAATAAAGATGAAAGTAGAATAACAATTTAAAAATTTTAATTAATAAGAGTAAAACTATAAAAATGTTAGATTTTGTATATTGAGTAATAGTTTCCTCTTGAATTTCAACCTGCCTTCCTAGGGTTCCTCTCCATATCCTCACCAATCGTACATTTTACAGAAAGCAAACCAAATCAATCTCCATGTTAAGTCCCCTCGGTTTCAATGTGTGCAGTCTGTGTATCCTGACAACAGACATTTAATGTGGATAAGTGCAAAATAATGCATCTTGGACGTAAAAACCCAAGGGCAGAGTACAGAATATTTGATAGAGTTCTAACCTCAACATATGAGGAAAGGGATTTAGGGGTGATTATTTCTGATGACTTAAAGGTAGGCAGACAATGTAATAGAGCAGCAGGAAATGCTAGCAGAATGCTTGGTTGTATAGGGAGAGGTATTAGCAGTAGAAAGAGGGAAGTGCTCATGCCATTGTACAGAACACTGGTGAGACCTCACTTGGAGTATTGTACACAGTACTGGAGACCGTATCTTCAGAAGAATATTGATACCTTAAAGAGGGTTCAGAGAAGGGCTACGAAACTGGTTCATGGGTTGCGGGATAAAACTTACCTGGAAAGGTTAAAGGATCTTAACATGTATAGTTTGGAGGAAAGACGAGACAGGGGAGATATGATAGAAACATTTAAATATATATTAAGGGAATCAACACAGTAAAGGAGGAGACTATAATTAAAAGAAGAAAAACTACCACAACAAGAGGACAGTCTTAAATTAGAGGGACAAAGGTTTAAAAATATCAGGAAGTATTACTTTACTGAGAGGGTAGTGGATGCATGGAATAGCCTTCCATCTGAATTGGTAGAGGTTAACACAGTAAAGGAGTTTAGGAATGCGTGGGATATGCATAAGGCTATCCTAACTATAAGATAAGGCCAAGGACTAAAGAAAGTATTTAGAAAATTGGGCAGACTAGATGGGCCGAATGGTTCTTATCTGCCGTCACATTCAATGTTTCTATCCAAAAGGTTTCACGTTGGGACAGAGACCTCAGTCTGTTCCCTCCCCTCCATTGTTGCTCAATCTTTTCTATTCCAAAACATATCAATGTTTGAAAATTAAACATGGGACAAGAATTGCAGTGCACCGGAACAGAGTGCGACATAAGACCTTCTCTAATATTGTTGGCATGTTCCAACAGTTCGACCTTTAGCAGTCGCTTAGTTCGTCCTACATATTGATTGCTGAACGGACACTGCAGTAGATCTACAACACAGTCCGTGCGGCATTCAATTGGGGCTTTGATGGAAAATACCTCTCCCGTTATGTTATTTTTAAATGTGTTGGTCTTTTGTATATTCATAGTATTGCAGGCTTTTTAAAACCTAGGTTTTCGGTGTTTCTTTTTAGATTAGTAGTTTTTATCCCTTTCACATAGCTGGGGGCCAAAATATATTTTAAATTGCAGTTCTTTCTAAATGTCACTATAAGATTTTCTGGTAGAATCCTAACATTGGATCCTGTAAAAGAATGGTCCAATGTTTAGCTTAGCCTCTTTTGATTTTCCAATTATCCTTATTATATCCCTAAATACACTCAACTCTGGGATGCTGGCACTGTTCTCCAGTTCTTACAAGACTGGCCGACAAATTACAAACGGTTTCTGCATCAACTCGCTGCAAAGATTACTATCTTTCTGTGCTTAGTTTCCTTCTGACGCGTTTCGGATGTTTGTGCATTCAGTGTGGATGCATTCTCCTTCTCTCCCAGAGTTACTTTTTGGGTTTCCATCATACTAAATTAGACTCGGTTTCCGTCTTTTACCCCTCTTTCCCTGCTGATCCGCAGCTCTCTATCATCTCTGCACTACGTTACTACTTTGAGGCTACTGCGCCGCTGCGGCCCTCTACATTGCATCAGTTGCTCGTTTCTTATGTTCATCCTAATGGCCTGGTTTCGGTCACTACTTTGGCCAGAGGGTTCGCTGGCTTCAGTCATTGGGCAGGATTGACCCATGTTTCGGGGCACATTGCTTCCATGGGGCGGCAGCCTCTTCCGCTTTCTCGGCAAGTGCTTCTTTGCCTGATATTCTCCGCTCTGCAGATTGGAGACAAATTGGACACGAGAGTCCACGTTTTGAACTATCTACTTCCGACCTTCGTCGAGCGCAGCTTTTTCTCTCTTCTCTCCCAGCGTTAAAATTTCAAATATGAAGCCTCCTGTCATGCTATAAAATTGAAGATTGTTAGCTTTAGTTTACCTATAATCTTAATTTTAATAATGACAAGAGGCAAATATTTCCCACCTTGTTTCTACGATCAATTTCCCACCCTTTCGTTCTATCCTTGCCTCTATTTTTGTTTTCTCTCGACACTCTGTGTCTTTTCGTATTTATGGATGGGTTTCCTTTGGATTCGATAATATGGTTACTGTTGCATTACGGTGGGTTTTTTGGTTTCCTGTTGTACCCAGTTAGCTATCATTAGCTGGATTTCCGTTCTCGGTCATAGTTTAATAATTATAATTGCCTAGTACTGACAAATCACACTCTCTCTTTCCAGTTTGAATCTTTCTGTAATTAATACTCAAAGACATGTATCGGGAACTATTCATCCACATTCTTCGTCTTGTTTCTATTGTTTCCGTTTTTCTCCGTCCCTAAAGGGATAAAGTCTCACGTGGATTAATAAACCTTAGAAAATATATACAGGGCCAGTATAAGCAATCTGTGTAAGTATCCAGGAGCTAAATCAGTAGAAGTAGATATATATGTATGTAGAGATAGGTATCCTTAAACAAAGAAATTAGTGGTGGAATAAAAGACAGGAAATCACACTGCCGACATATTGTCAATGCACAGCTGTATACAACAATTCGACATGTTTGACCAGGCTGCGGATGGCATAGGAGCTTGCTATCAATTCCAAGCAGTTGATGTGCATCTCCGACTCCTTGTGAAGCCATGGGCCCCCCATGGAGGACTCTGCGTAAGGCGCTCCCCAGCCCCAAAGTCCGGAGAAGGTCCAAAAATGGCTTTCCCAATCCAGGCCTGGATGTGAAGGAGCCACCAATGGATTTCCTTGCGTACTTCTGTGTTGATCGGTATCAGTTGGTCGTAGGAGTAGCCTGCTCGTAAGAAGCGGGCCTTGTGTCGTTGCATGGCTCTGTAGTGGAGTGGGCCCGGATATATCGCCTGTATGGAGGCGGACAAAAAACCCACGACACGTGCCAGGAGTCCTAGAGGGATGAGCTCTAGTCGTAGGACTTTCCGAATTTCCTTGCAGATGGATGCAATTTTCGACAGGGGTAGACGTAGGAAGCACGTCGTGGAGTTGATCTTGAATCCCAGGAACTGAACGACTTGAAATGGTTTGAGAGCCAGCTCCTTTTTTACTATGAATCCCAACGATTCCACAATATAGTGTTACTGTTGGCACTGTAGGGAGGAACGAGGAACGCTTATCCACATCTGGCGGTCATGCAGATTGCTTAGACAAGTGTGCGGATTTTCGGTAGGCGGAACTTGGATAGAATGATGTAACTGGAGGGTTGGGCATGGGTCCAGAAGACCAAAATCGGCTAGTGGCACGGCCTCTCTGCCTACCAGCCATTCCAAAAACCCCACGTGCTGTTGGTGTGCACAAGACTTGCCGCAGTGATGTCTGGGCCTTGTTGAGTGTCGTAAAGAGAGACACGTGCTTTTTCATTTCCACTTTGAAAGAGTCACCAAACAGGAGACCGTTGGCCGAAGCCCGCAGTTCCTTGGTTGCCATGTTCATGAGCTTAGTGTCCATGCGCACTAGCGCCGCTCTATCTCTCCGTGCAAATCGCTGCATTGGTATTGCCTAGGAGGCACATGCATCTCTAAGCCCATTCACGTATGGCGTGAGGGTCCAGCTGCGAGCCGTCAAGGCTTCGTCGGTGAAATATAGAATCTTCGCCAAAGGTTCTAGGATATCAAGCAGTTTGTCCTGCGTGGCCTTCAGGCCTCTCTCTACTTCTTTTCTGGGGTCCTGTCCCGTCCGGGACATAAACACGACCACAGTTTGGTCGAATTCTGGGGTCACTGCCATCTTACCGGGCAGGATGGGGTGCAGGCATTCCGCCCGTAATCTCACCCTGATCTTAGTCTAGAGGCTTATGTATCCAGAAATGTAGGAAGCGTGCAAAATGCTCAGGCAGGGACCATTCTGAGCACCTTGGGTGTCTAATGGTGTGAGGATCAAACAGGGGCCAACCGTTGGGAGTCCAGAAAAAGGCAGTCTACCTCCTGGGAGGAGAGGTCGTATGTCAACCCTTGAGGAGAGGGGGCACCTGTTAGAGCACCAGACACATACTCAGAATCATGGGGAGGCAGGTCATGCCAGTCATCCCCATCGTCAGATACGGATTCATCCGCCCTCCACTCATCTAAGATACCTAGAGCTGGAGGGTAGTCCTCGTCTTCCCGGTGGGGGGGTTTATGTCTCGCCACCCGTTTGGTGCGCTTTGCTGGTTCTTTTCTTTTAGGTCTGTACACGGGTGTTGCGCCATTTCTGTGGCATTTAGTTATGGGGGTTGCGCCAGGAATGCATCTTTTAAGACCTTGCAGCATCATCACCCTGTGAAGGGGATGCACCCGAGGGCAGGTGGAGTACCTCAGGAGGAGGTTGGGGGAGCATTTCAGCTAGGGCTTTTTCCACCGATGCTGCCACTGCAGCGTTAATCATGGACTGGAAGTCCTGGCTCTGCGGTAGTGTATCACTCAGATCGTGGTCTGTGGAGAAGAGTACACAGATTAGCGTCTGTGCAGACCGTATTAGGCTGATGGGAGTCCCCTGCTAGTACAATTGGGGTATGCCTAATGGCGTAATACTAGTTACTCAACACAAGTGAGAGAGACCCAATTATAGTGAGAGTGAATCTCTCAATGCCGGTCGCAATGAGCAGCCAGTGTGTCAGGGAGTGAGATCCTGAATTGGTGGGAGGCGTTCAAAGCTTCCAATATTGCAGGGGTTATATACCCTGTGTGTCCGCTGTGGAGAAGGTACCAGTCAAACGGATGTAATCGTACACATAAGCGTGGAAATCCCAATAAAGGTTATGGTACCTGAAATGCCCTGGTCTCTTTAGTATTAAAGGCTCACCCTGATAGTACTGCAGGTTATGTCCCTGCATTCAGTATGTGTAGTTGACAATATGATAACAAGAGTACAGTAGCAATTATCTTTACTTGTTATTGAGGACAGAATCCTGACCGTAGGAAAGAAGAGTCCCTGAAGGCTGTTGCTGGGTACCCGGTCGTCAGGAAAATTGTACACACGCTAAAACCGTCTGAAATTAGTCAGGAAAACAAAAGGCCGCAGTGAGTATCGCAGCTCGAAAAGCCAAGATGGTCACCGCGCGCTGGGTTTTGCCAGGAACAACTCCCGCGGTCCTTACGGGCAGCGGAGAACAATACCCCCCAGAAACCCACAGTGCCCAGACACCCTCCCGCCACCCGGAACAGGGCCCGACGAAGGGTACTGGAACTGGTAAGCCCGCAAGCGATGAAGTAGGCCGTGAGCAGAGTGCTACTCAGGGAGATAGCCAGGTAGAAGTTGGGAAGGTAGTTCAGGAGTAGGGACAGAGGAATAAGAGAAATTAAACAGAAAAATAAACTGCTAAAGTGGCAAATTCCAAATAGATAAAAGTGACTAAAGTGGTATTCTGGCAGGAGCAGCAAAGAAAGAGGAAGTGAAAGGCATCACAGAGCTATTTATAGTAGTGACTCTTGTTTTCTGATTGGTTTAAAAGTTTTGATTGATCTGTACTGCTGGAGGTTTAAGTAAAGAAAGATTATACAAATATGAAGCCTCCTGTCGTGATAAAATTGTGTGAGAAAAATGTATAACTTAATTATCTCTCAGGTACAGAAAAATGTACAATAATTTCACACACCCCAAAAATGCATTTTAATATTTCAGAACCCCACAAAAGTCACATCACTGAATAGCATGGATCTGAGCACACACTTTGACGAAATATCACTCAGATCCCTTTGGTGGTTCAGGAACGCTATTAGAGTGAAGTTTTGATCGGTTGGCCGCGAGGTGATGCCCCAAAACAGTTCCAGGGAAAACAAGGCAACGACCGGTCATCTTTCAGGGATTCTTGCATGAACACCAACGAATGCTCCCCCGGCTGTTAGCATACAAATGTTAACCTTGTTCGGTAGGGTGTCTCCTGGACGCCCATTCTCATAACGGTTCTTGAATTTGGATGGGCAGCGGTATAACTTTACTGGGTGTTTGTGGGGTCGTGAAGCCGAAAACCGTTTCATGCCGTCGACGACCATGTACCTCTGCCCGCATTCAAGAGACAAAATGGCCTTGTTTGCAGACGTGCATTTTGGTTATATGAAACGAGGCCGCACTGGAAACACTTTCCTTAACGAGCAATCCGTGGTTAACAGCCAGTGGTGGTTGGTTGTTAGAAGTTGCAAACATGGGGACCACACAGATGGGGGTTCGGTAAACGAACAGGGGATAATTGCCATTCTTGCCAGCCTCTTGCCTTGTGACTATGGCGCCTGCCAGTTAAAAACACGTGGGTGGTAACCTTGTGGGGAAATGTGTATAAAAGAACCAATAAAGCCTCAGTGCATTCTGTTCCTGTTTGACCCACAACACGTAGTCTTGTCTCGTGATTGGAGGTGAACTGCTATAATCACACTGGGGATTGCTATACTTTGTATACTCCCTTGAGCTCTAATCACTTAGCTCTTTTAAGAGCTGTTCCTGATACGCTCTCCTGGAGGAGAGGTCTTTTCCACACGGTCCTGGAGGACAGAAGCTGATCCAGGGTGGAAGGAAGACGGCAAGACTCCAGTTAAGCTACCGCGGTTCTGGAGTCTGTGGTGGTTGTGGTGTACAGTGCGGTGCTTGTGGTCCTCGGCGCATCACTGATACAAATCATAAATCAATACACATACAAGAAATAGAATACTATTATAGGTGGGAGCATGGAATCACAATTCTGAAGAAGTGACTTTGGACTGTCACGAAACGCATTAGGCATTTCGGCAATAGCCGTACATTGATTCAGCTACAGTTACCGAGCAACCGTGGAACGCAGGTCGGGCGCACAAAGTGGAATGCACGCGAGGAGTATTCTACCTCTCCCAGCACAGCGAGATCATCTCACCGGCCAGAGAAAGATCTTCCACCATTCTTGCTGACCTCACAAGACCCATTTGCTGCTACTTTACACTTCAAATGTGAAGAAAGCACTGTCAGATTTTGATCATCATTTCAAGACCTTTAAGGAGACCTTATTACTAGAGTTGAGCGAACCCGAACATTTCATACCGAACATTACGATTTTTTGACCACGAAACCAGACATTTCAGTCACAGTTCGTGTTTGAGTTTGGTGTTCGGCCCTACATAACAATGGGGGGGGGGACCTGCTGTCCTCCCCCCCGGCCCTGATCCCTGCGCGGCGGGGGCCCTACATAACAATGGGGGGGACCTACTGTCCTCCCACCCCTGCCCGGCGGGTGGGGGCCCTAAATAACAATGAGGGGGGACCTACTGTCCTCCCCCCATGGCCCCCACCCCAGCGTGGCAAGTGGGGGCCCTACATAGCAATGAGAGGGGGGGGGGGGACCTACTGTCCTCCCGATCCCTGAGTGGTGGGTGAGGGCCCTAAATAAGAATGAGGGGGAATAAAATAACTAACCTGTAAAGAAAAATAAAACTTACCATTTGATCTCTTCTTTCTTCTAAAATCTTCATTTTTCAGCCCTTATTTTACTTTAGGGGCTCGGGGGGGGGGAACCCTTTTTTTTTCATAGGCTGCTCACTGTTTAATAGACATGCCCCTACTCGCGGTATAGCGGGTAGTGGCATAATTTACTAATACTTAGTAATCTTTACTTGGTATTAGTAAATTTGGCTGGAAGACCAATTCAGGTCTTTAAGCATTTTAGTAGATAACTCCCTAATTCCCACGGTATTAGAGATCTATCTACATATTAATTCCGGTCATTACATTGACTGGCCAAGTAACTTACATTTTATATGAATGTGTGTTACTTGATTGTTGTAAGTGTTGCAAATGCTTACAGCTGAATCATGGCTATGTTTGTATACTTTGTATTTAAAATTGTATACAGTGTAACATTCTTTCTTCTTCCACTGGGTAAGTATATTAGTACTTAGGCAATGCATTTTACTTCCTTTTGCAGCCCTCTAGCCCTTTCCAGGACTTTTTTAGAGCCATTTTAGTACCCAAAAGTTTGGGTCCCCATTGACTGCAATGGGGTTCAGGTTCGGGGTCAAGTTAGAGTCCGAACTCAAACTTTTTGCTGAAGTTCGGCCAAACCTGGCAAACCCGAACATCCAGGTATCCGCTCATCTCTTCTTTTTACCATATACCTGTAATGGTGGTCTATGAGTAACTGTGATTTCTGCTGCAATCTGAGATCCCTGCTCTTACTGATTCATACCATTATTGGTTATATTGTATGTACAACTTGACACATTATTGCTGCTGTCATTTTTATTTGGCAGCAACACACTGTGTTGGCTGTGATATTGATAAACACTTTCCCTGCATTATAAGAACTTTGATATCTAAAGACCGTCGATTTGGATTTTATTGCTACATTTTTTTGGACTATTAAGGTTCATTACTGACTTTTGGACCATTTATATACTTCGGAAATTTTCAATGATAGTCTACATATTCATATTTTTATTTGATTCTATTGGGCATATGTTTATTTTATGTGATTTTTTTGTTTTTTGTTTTTTTTAATTGTAAGTAATATTTTGGTTGATAACGTAATGTTTAGTCAACCTCCCCCCCCATATGAGGATTTTTATGATACAGGGCTGCCACCTAGTGAGCACACATATATTACATCTGCTACCACAAGCACTTTAATTCTTGTTTTTTTATGTGCTTTTCATTGTTTTATCCGTTTTTTAGTGGTTCATATTGCCCACATTTCCTTATTTTGTAGTTGCTGCTTCTCACCAGATTTTATTTTAGAATTGTGATTCCAGCTCCCACCTGTAATAGTATTCTATTTCTTGTATGTGTATTGATTTATGATTTGTATCAGTGATAACACCGCGTAAGGGATCTCCTAGTACGCGTAGGTTTTCGTACCTATTATCTAAATATGGTAAACCGTTTGGAAGGTCAAAGCAGGAGTCACGTGAACGAAACTGTTTCCAAGACAGGTCACAAAATGATCTGACAAGGAGTAAGTAATAAAGGTAGGTAAATAAGCTACTTAGTCAGGAACCACATGCAGGTGTGATAGTAATCCAGGCTTAGTGCTGCAGATACCATAGCATTAGAAATTAACAAGAATGAACATGAGAAGTGGCAATGAGGTAAGATCACTGACTGGGATGAAGAAGACCCAGATTCAATCCCAGCCAGACCCTGAGAAGTGATGTCCATGCCTGGCAGTCTGCTTGGCATGGTGCAAACCGTGACAGTAGGAGTGCTATGACAGATATGGGTGCCCTCCCAGAAGTCCTGGTAGATCTTTTTTGAAGGAAGTGTCAAAATGCTGTCGCCACATCTGGATAGTGGAAGTCTGCATGACATGGTGCGAACCGTGACAATAGAAGTGCTAAGACAGCTATGGATGCACTCCCAAAAGTCCTGGCAGATCTTTTTTGAAAGAAACCTGCTAACAGTTTAATTGATATGCTTTCTTGAAGAAGTGAGTTTTCAATGATTTTTTTGAATGAGTGGAGACTGAGTGAAAGTCTTACGGATAAGGGAAAGGAGTTCCACAGAAGAGGTGCAGCCCTGGAGAAATCTTGGAGGCAAGCATCAGAGGCGGGAGTATGGACAGAGGATATACGTAGGTCTTTGGCAGAGCGTAGGGGCCTCGACGGGACATACTTGTGTATTAGGGAGGATAGATAGGTTGGAGCAGCATTATGTAGGGACTTGTACGCAAGCACCAGAATTTAAAATTTAACCCTATATCTAACTGGCAGTAGTTAAGGCGAGAGAGAACAAGAGCATGGACCAGCACCTTAGCTGCATCCAGGGTTAAATAGGGGCGAATGTGCGCTATGTTTTGAGATGGAAGTGACAGGATTTGGCGATTGGATATGAGGGAAAAGGAGAGGTTGGAGTCAAAAAGGTACACCCAGGCAGCGAGCCTTCGAGGTAGAGGTGATGGTAGCACCGCTGACTTGGAGGTAGACAGACACAGGAGTAGTAACACTTGAGGTAGGAAAGACCAGATGTTCTGTTGTGGACAGGTTGAGTTTAAGGAAGTGAGCAGCCATCCAGTTGGAAATCGAAGAGAGGCAGTCAGAGACACGAGTCAAGATGGGCGGAGAGAGATCAGGAGAGGACAGGTAGATTTGCATGTCATCCGCATAGAAATAACGGAAGCCAAAGGAGCTGATGAGTTTACCAAGGGAGGCAGTATAGATGGAAAACAGTAGGGGACCAAGGACAGAACCTTGGGGTACGCCAATAGAGAGTGGTTGTGGGGAAGGGGCAGAGTCAGAGAAAGAAACACTGAAAGAGTGCTTGGAGAGGTAGGAGGAGCACCAGGAGAGAGGAATATCCCGTAGACCAAATGGAGCATGCAAAGAAGCTGTTGATGATCAACAGTGTCAAAGGCAGCAGAAAGATCAAGGAGAATTAGGATAGAGTAATGGCAACGAGATTTAGCAGCAATTAAATCGTTGGATACTTTGGTCACAGCCGTTTCAACAGAATGACCAGTGCGGAATCCAGACTGAAGGGGGTCAAGCAGAGAGTTGGATTCAAGAAAGTCAGTCTTGTGTACACAACTCTCTCGAGGATCTTGGAGGCAAATGGCATTAGCGGGATAGGGCGGGAGTTGGGGTTGTGGCGAAACCGGCCTCGCCACGTGTCCTTGGAGGGGGCTGCTTGCCTGCCTCTTGCTATGGACTATGGACCAGACTTTATGTGAATGTGTTATACCCCAGATAGGAATCCCATGGAGCCCATTCGTATGAAACTGACTGTAAAGACTTTGGCTCCATGGCGATTAAACTGTATTTGTGTGGTCCGAGCGCCATTCACTTAATAATGTGCGCTCAGACCTGAGCTATCTGGGTATATGTGAAATGTCTGTGTGTTATGTGTAAAATGTGACTTTATGTATTTTAAAGTGTTTTGTGTCTTTTTGCAACCATGTGTCTAATGGAGTCTTGTGTCTGTCCTGGGAGATAATTGAATTACTTATCTCCAGGATTGAAGACTCTGAAACTGGTTTGGGCCAGAAAGCCATGCTTCATTTAGTCACAAAGGACTTTTTACTAACTTTTGAACCCCTTGTCTGATTTGTGCCATTTTTGAATATGTTGTTCCCCTGAATAGATTGATTGTGAATATGTAATTTTATGTGAATGTGATGTATGGTTTTGGAGTTATGAAAGTTGGGTAGAAAGTATGTTTTAACTGTATGTATAATTGAGTTTCCTCTCAGGATAAGGGGAGGGAATATGTAGGATGTAACTGTGATGTGATTGGTTGTTTTGTAACGCCCTGTGGGCTGTACTATGTTTGTGGATTGGGAATAAAAGAGACTGTATGTGACAGTACAGGAGTTCCTGTTTTAACCCTCAAAGTGAAGTGTCGTCTCATTATTGGGGGAAGGATTCATTGTATGCTGTTCCAGTTTGAATGCTAGGAGAGTAAACCTATTCGTATGGTTCCTATTCAACTGTCTACAGCATTCATATGCTTGAGAGAAGGTATACGCTTCTCTGGTTCGGTGATTGTGGTGTCGGCTGCAGTGCTTGGAGTCCTCAGGAAGCGCTAGGAGCATCTTTCAACTGAGGTACCCAGTCGGGGTGCCAGGCGATCCGTTACAGGGGTCAAGTCTGGGCTTTTTCAGAATCGGGGTTACAGTTGCATGTTTGAAGGGTGAGGGAAATGTGCCAGAAAAAAGGGAGAGATTGAACATTTTATTTTGATTTCTATTGACCTTGGCTTGGCACCATTTACCTTCTTTCTGTACTCCTGATCTCAGCTTGTCCTGTTCGTTCTAGTTTTTATGTTAAATCTGGCCATTCCAAGGTCCGGTAATATGTTTAGGGTTTTCTATTACTTTGTTGGCTACTTAGGTTCGGAAAACCTGACAAAGCCTAGAGGGGTTTAAATAGGATCAAGCCTTAGCATCACATTTGTATTAGATTCACAGAGCCTTAAGTATATCGAACAGAATACCAACTAATAATGAATAAAACTCACAAAGGTTGTGGCTCGTGTCATCTTAGGATTTATAGAGGCCAAAATTACATGAGAGTAACATATAGTTACATCATTACATGCATCCATCAAGTTCAACCTTTAATGTATTGAAAATGTTTCTACATCTGGATGAGAGATATTGGTGAGAAAATGGTGCATACAAATTAGTGAGCGACCACAAAGACTGGCATGAGTGCTTGGTCGACTAAGAATGTGACATTGACACTGCTGTGTAAAACTCAGTTAATGATCTCTATATTTGATGCAAGCTTCTAGTGGGGTAAATTTGAAGCAGAATGCCTGACTTATAGAGTGGCTTTACAGCATGTCAGTTTGGTGCTTTACTAGGGCAGCCCATAAACGCAAAAAATGGGGGGAGCATAACAAGTATTCTATACTTATCAATGAGTATTCACAAAGATATAATGGAAGAAAGATGCAAGTAGGCTAGTACAAAATAAATAAACGTAAAGCAGATACAGTTGCAAGAAAAAGTATGTGAACCCTTTGGAATGAAATGGATTTCTGCACAAATTGGTCATAAAATGTGATCTGATCATCATCTAAGTCACAACAATAAACAATCACAGTCTGCTTAAACTAATAACACACAAAGAATGAAATGTTGCCATGTTTTTATTGAACACACCATGTAAACATTCACAGTGCAGGTGGAAAAAGTATGAACCCTTAGATTTAATAACTGGTTGAACCGCTTTTGGCAGCAATAACTTCAACCAAACGTTTCCTGTAGTTGCAGATCAGACGTGCACAACGGTCAGGAGTAATTCTTGACCATTCCTCTTTACAGAACTGTTTCAGTTCAGCAATATTCTTGGGATGTCTGGTGTGAATCGCTTTCTTAAGGTCATGCCACAGCATCTCAATCGGGTCAGCACTCTGACTAGGCCACTTCAGAAGGTGTATTTTCTTCTGTTTAAGACATTCTGTTGTTGATTTACTTCTATGCTTTAGGTCCTGTTGAGCTTCAGCTGGTAGATAGATGGCCTTAAGTTCTCCTGCAAAATGTCTTGATAAACTTGGGAATTCATTTTTCCTTCGATGATAGCAATCCGTCCAGGCCCTGACGCAGCAAAGCAACCCCAAACCATGATCCCCCCACCACCATACTTCACAGTTGGGATGAGGTTTTGATGTTGGTGTGCTGTGCCTTTTTTTCGCCACACATAGTGTTGTGTGTTTGTTCCAAACAACTCAACTTTGGTTTCATCTGTCCACAGAATGTTTTGCCAGTACTGCTGTGGAACATCCAGGTGCTCTTGTGCAAACTGTAAACGTGCAGCAATGTTTTGTTTGGACAGCAGTGGCTTCCTCTGTGGTGTCCTCCCATGAAATCCATTCTTGTTTAGTGTTTTACGTATTGTAGATTCGCTAATAGGGATGTTAGCATTTGCCAGTGACTTTTGTAAGTCTTTAGCTGACACTCTAGGATTCTTTTTCACCTCATTGAGCAGTCTGCGCTGTGCTCTTGCAGTCATCTTTACAGGACGGCCACTCCTAGGGAGAGTAGCAGCAGTGCTGAACTTTCTCCACTTATAGACAATTTGTCTTACCGTGGACTGATGAACAGCAAGGCTTTTGGAGATACTTTTATAACACTTTCCAGCTTTATGCAAGTCAACAATTCTTAATCGTAGGTCTTCTGAGAGCTCTTTTGTGCGAGGCATCATTGAGATCAGGTAATGCTTCTTGTGAAAAGCAAACCCAGAACTTGTTGGTTACAGCTGCCCTATAAGAAACACACACCTCCAATCTCATCTCATTGATTGGACTCCAGTTGGCTGACATCTCACTCCAATTACCTTTTGGAGATGTCATTAGTCTAGGGGTTCACATACTTTTTCCACCTGCACTGTGAATGTTTACATGGTGTGTTCAATAAAAACATTTCATTCTTTGTGTGTTATTAGTTTAAGCAGACTGTGATTATCTATTGTTGTGACTTAGATGATGATCAGATCACATTTTATGACCAATTTGTGCAGAAATCCATATCATTCCAAAGGGTTCACATACTTATTCTTGCAACTGTATGTAGCACTCACAAAGATGGAGCCAAAAACAACACTTGGCTCTGGTGGAAAGCCTATGGTTCTTAAAAGGGGATCCTTTTCTATTCTGTTGCCATTATCAGGACCAGGTGAATGATTCTGGCTGGTCAGGATAATCAGGAACTTTAAACCAATGAGTATAACAATTTGTGATTTATTTAAACAGCTCAACTATAAAATAAACAAAATGTAAAAAAGATTTAAAAAAAGTCAAATTGGAAATAAAGTATAGTTGTCTCAAACACATTTCACCTGTTGGTTTCCTCAGTTGGTAGCAAAATAATGTCAGTGTACAGTCGTGTACATTAAATAGCTGAAATTCCCGGGCTTTTTCACTCTTCATGGAACGCATTGTGCATCCCATTGGCTTCAGGAGCACCTAATGAATAATTTTCCATGCTTCCGTCCAGTGGCGTACACACAACCCATGGGGCCCCGGTGCAAAAACTGATCTGTGGTTCCCCGCGTGCAACACGTGGCGGCGGGCAGGGGTCGCAGGGCTGCGGCCGCGGTATGTACGCCATTGCATGCAGATACACATTCACTTAAAGGACCACTACAGACACCCAGATCACATCACCTCAATGTTTTAACCCTGCAGCTGAAAACATAGTTTCAGAGAAACTATGTTTCACTGAGGGTTAATCCAGCCTCTAGTGGCTGTCTCATTGACAGCCACTAGAGGAGCCTCCGCGCTTCTCGCTGTGAAAATCAGTGAGGAGACGCTGAACGTCCATAGGAAAGCATTGAGTGGGCGGTTTGAATGCGCACGCAGCTCTTGCCACGCATGCGCGTTCGGAGCTGAGAGGCAGATCGGGGCGGAGAGATCCCCAGCGCCAAGGGAGTCTGGCGCTGGAGAAAGGCAAGTGCTTAAGACACACACACACACTCTCTCACGAACAGACGCATACACACTAGTTGACAGAAACACACTCAGTGACACATACATACACTCACTAACAGACGCACACAAACTAACACACACACTCACATACGTTTAAAAAAAAAAAAAATCCCCCCAGCCTCTCTACCTTTGGGAGTGCTGAGGGGATTCCCTGCGGTCCAGTGTTGTCACCTGGTGGGCGCGCGAGGGAGCACTCTTCCCTGAGTGCTTCCTGTTCAGCTCCCTCGCGCACTGCGTACTGATGCCGGAGCCGGAATACCCTCGCGTGCCTGCCAGCCTTCCCGCCAGGTGACACCAGGGCCAGCCTCGGGGGGCTCCTGGGCCCCCAGGAGAAGAGGCTGGCCACAGTGGCATACATACCGGGTCACAGCCGCGACCCCACTATGTACGCCGCTGCTTCCGTCTTCCTGTCCTCGAAACGCACAATGAGTTCCAACGTCTGACGTCTACACGTCTTATGTCGGATCTGATTGTTTGAGTGGAATGCATCCATGCATTCCAAAAGTTCGAACTCTTCTCCCATTTAGCTATAATGATGTAGTGTTGTCTATATTTTCTCTGATATCATCGTTGAGAAATATTTTGAAACTTACATGACTACATTGCTCATTTAAAAAAATATAAATCAATGAAATATGTATAATATATTAAATTCTATGTGTGCATTTAAAAAGCTTATAATAAAGAACACAATAATATTCCTATATTCTTCTTGTGAAAAAAATAGATAAAATAATAGTAATACTAAGTCTTATACATAAAAGAAGGGGGTTTAGTAAAATAAAACAATGAAGGCCTTTAATGAATAGAAGAATTCCAAAGAGCAGCAGCAGGAAAAGTAAATGAAAATTGCAGTCAGGCAGCAGACAGAACTAAACGATCAATCTGGATCTAGATCAGGAAACAGGCGGGAGCAATCCTCCAGGGAATCAGGAACCAGGAACATAAGCTGAAAATTAGGGCAATAGGCAGGTATACAGCTTTAATCCCTTAAGGAACAAACTTCTGTAATAAAAGGGAATCATGACATATTGTGTCCTTAAGAGGTTAAGCAAAATAACCAAGCACTAACTGGAAGGTGTGCTGGGTTTAAGTAGGTGGCTAGCATCACATGACTGGCCACCTCCCACCAGTAGGTGGAGTACACGGGTTATATAAAGAGGTCAGGGACTCGGCACCATCTTGTTTTACACCATAGTTGCTGACTATTATGGATCCACAGCTCTCCTCCTTCTCCCTGTGCAGAACCCCGGCGGTGAGAGGTATAGAAGAAGCCGCCGCGGACCCAGGGTCTCCAGGAGCGGCGAGTACCGCAATTCTGCCGTAAGGGCGGCACAGGCGCCCAGGGGCAGGTGAGTACCCCGCCGTGCCTTGACAATAGATAAGGCCGCAGAGGCAATTTAAGACATAGATAAAATTTTTGGAAAAGCATGTCAATGTAGCCCTAATAGTATAGTTGCTTTTGATATGTACCCCTACATTTGTGATCAATCTTTTTTTACTCATAGTCTCCCTGCAGGCTAAGCATGATCCGCAGCCATGAAATCCTGTGCTGCATTGTAAAAAATGTTTAGGACGTCTAATCCTCAAACTATTTTGTACTAACACAAACTATTTTGTACTAACATATTTTTCATATTTCTACAGCCTCCATATATTATCTGTGGTTTAGTCAGTACTATACATTTTAAGATGGAATAATCTCTCAAAATGTGCCAATACTGTTGGATAAGTCTGCATGTTTTTTTTTTTTATTTTGACTGTTAAAATCACAAACAAATGGTACACTTTTCTTGTCTTCTATAATTTTTTTTTTTGTTTGTTTGTTTTGTAAGTAAATAAATCTTTTCTTGGAATGTTCTTTATTTCTTCCATACATCTCATAAGTTCTCCTTTGTCATAACCTTTCTCAGTAAATTAGTCTTTAATTCTGTTTGCTTGTACTATATAATTGTGATCTTGTGTGCAGGGCCGGTGCAAGGATTTTTGCCGCCCTAGGCAAAAGAAAGATTTGCCGCCCCTCAACCTCCCCCCCAGGAGTAGTGCCAGTGCTGCACACAGTGTGTGTTTACATTAAAAAGCCTGCAGGGACAAACTATATAGACACCAGAACAACTGTATTAAGCTGCAGTGGTTCTGGGGACTATTGTGTCCATTTAATGTGAGGTAAAGTAGAGATTAGTGTCACTAATAATATACTAGATTGCCTACTTACAATCAGATGAGGATGGTGATGGGCTCTGGCTGCAGTCTGGCTCCACTGGTCTGGTGTAGAACAGGATCTCTGGAGGCTGTTTGTAACTGTGGCCACAAAATTCAATGTTCTGGGAGAACGGGAAGCAGCTCCATTTTTTTGGGGCCTCTTACATAGCTCAAGGTCTGGGCCCCAGGGCCTGACGGGGAGTATGCCCATAAAGCCCACCCATACGTCCACCTACATGTTCCACCCATGAGTTCGCTCACAGGGAGTAGAGTGTGTAGGGGATGTGTTATGTGTTACTGTAGATAATCTAATGCGTGTGCTTATGGAATGTAGTGTATAGGGATACCAGTTTGTGTAGGTGATGCAGTGTTTTTGTATGTAGTGGAAGCAGTGTGTTTTTGTGTAAGGGATAGAAAGCAGTGAGTGTTTGTATGCATAAGGGATGAAAAGTGTGCTTCTGTGTATGTAAGGGATGCAGTGTGTGTGTAAGAGATGCATTGTGTTTCTTTGTGTGTGTAAGAGAAGCATGTGTGTGTGTAAGGGTTGCATTGTGTGTTTCTCTGTGTGTAAGGGAAGCATGTTGTGTTTCTGTGTGTATAGGGATGCATTGTGTGTGCGCGCGGTGTGAAAGAGCTCCCTGTCCTGCCCCCTGTCCTATAGAGCTCTCCCTTCCATTCCTTAGAGATCTCCCCTGACCCTTAGTGGTCTCTCCTCTCCCCCACCACCTCCCTTAGTGGTCTCCTTTTCTCCCCGACTTTCCATTCGTGGTCTCTCCTCTCCCCCCACCCTCCCCTAGTGGTCTATCCTCCACCCCCCTCCCTTAGCGGTCTCTCCTCACACCCCTCCCCTAGTGGTCTCTCCACCGCCCCCTCCCTCCTTTAGTGGTCTCTCCCTCCCCTACGTTCTCATCTCCCACCCCTTGTGTTCTCCTCTTATTCCCCCCCTCCCTGTGTTTTCCTCTTATTCCCCCCTCCCTCCCTCTAATTCTCCCCCCGTATCTTCTTCTTCTCCCCCTCCTCCAATCTTCCACTCCCCTGCCTCTTCCAATCTTCTTTCTTTCCTCCCTCCCTACAAATCTTTCCCTCCTCCAATCTTTTCTCTCTACTCTCCATGTAATCACCTTCTCCCCTCTCCTGTAACCTTCCACTCCCTCCCTCCCTGTAAATTTCTCCCCTCCTATAATCTTCCCCACTCTCCCTATAATCTTTCTCTATAATCTTCTCTCCCTCTATAATCTTCTCCCTCCCTATAATCTTTCCCTCCTATAATCTTCTCTCCCTATAATTTCCCTATAATCTTTCTCCCCTCCCTATAATCTTCTTTATCCCTATAATCTTCTCCTCCTATAATCTTCTCTCCCACCTCCTATAATCTTTCTCCTACCTCCCTATAATTCTCCCTATAATCTTCTCCTATACCTTTCCTCCCTATAATTTTTCCCTATAATCTTTTTTCTCCCCTTATACCTTTCCTAATCTACTTCTATAATTTCCCTCCCTATAATTTTCCCTAAGTACTTTTTCTTTTCCTATAATTATTTTCCTCCTATAATTTCCCTATAATTTTCCTCCTATACCTTTTCTGTAATTTCTCTATAATTTCTCTCTATAATTTCTCTCGTAATTGGTTTCGTTTTTCGGTTGTTTTGCTCGTTTGCTGGGCCTTTCAGTGATTTGGAAGTGCTACAGCGTACTTGCCAGTTCGCTGGCCGCGGACTGGAAAGGAAGGGAGGTGGAAGCGTTTGAGCGCGGCCAGAGCGCTCAGACGGCTGTGGCATTTAAAGGGCCGGCGATGGGGGCGCATGGCGCCCCATCCTATATGGCGCCCTAGGCAGCTGCCTAGTTCGCCTTATAGGAAGCGCTGGCCCTGCTTGTGTGTAATGGTGAGGCCAGGGCCGGACTGGGGATACAAAGCAGCCCTGGAAAAAAAAATCTATGCCAGCCCCATAAGTCATTGCGCCATATATTGTCACATGTAATATGTAAGGCTATGTCTTGCCACCCCAGATGATTGAGATATATATATATATCTCAAATATATATTGATTTTTCTAATATAAAACATTGGTTTATAATATAAAATGTTTAATTATACAGTAAGCATACTCACAAGCAGACAAAGACAATCTCACTGACACACACAAGCTCATTGATACACAGCCACATAGACAAACAATCTCAATTATCTACATAAGCTCATTGACATAAAAACACAAGCTCGCTCACTCACTAGCAGGCGCACACACACACACACACAGCTTAATGTAGTGGTTCTGGTGTCTATAGCCTGTCCCTGCAGGCTTTTCAATGTAAACCCTGACTTTTCAGACAAAAAGGCAGTGTTTACATTGCTTCCTAGTGACACCTCTAGTGACAGACACTCAGTCACTAGAGGTGCATCCTGTGTCAGTGCGGATTGGCTGAGATCATCAAGCTTGATGATCTCAGTCACAGAGGCAGGGCCAGCCGAGGGGAGATCAGCACGACGTTGGGGAAAAAGAAGGTGAGTAAAAACACTATTTTTAATAACACACACAGACACACAAACACCACGACAGACACACACATATATCATGACAGACACACACACCCCCATGACACAGACATATGCCATGACAGACACACCTACACCTTGACACACACACAGACCATGACAGACACACATGGATAAAGGCAGCCAGTTGGTGCCGAAACGTTGGTGAATCGTGTTTCTGTCTTGAGGCTTGTAAGAATTTTTGTGGTAATTTATTATTTTATTGTATTTGCCCTTGCTTCTGTCACTTTGTTTATTTTTTTTCTTATATGTTTTCACTCTGGTACTTTTGTGTACACAATAAAGCTAAGGTTTTTTTAGATTGTTATAGTGTGGATTCTATATACATTTGAATATTTAAAGCACTTGAGGGAGTGTTTATATGGTTTGCATCTGGCTGTTCTTATAATATTTTGTCTCTCCATGTGCTGTTGTTTTGAGACACACACACACACACACACCATGACACAGACACATACACTCCCACTGACAGACTGACATACATAATTGTTTCTACCTGTGGGCTGCTTAATGAGACCGGGGCCGGAATATGACGTCATCTTCTGGCCCCGGTCTTATTAAGTAGCGTGCAAGGGAGCTGAGGCAGAACACACAGCTTCCCCTGCGGCCGCCATCAGAACTCTCCCTGCGGCTACCATCAGAGCCAGCTTCCCCTGCGGCTGCCATCAGAGCTCTCCCTGCAGCCGCAGGTCACCCAAATGTCTCCTAAGCCCCAGTTTCCGACGTCCCACCGGAAAATTTCCCAGTATCCCGGTGGTGAGGCTGCCTGTGGTGTTGCAGGTGTGTTGTCAGAGTATTTATATCGGCAGACATCTTGTGCTATGATAGAAATTAAAAGTGTATATGCTGAGTCACTTTTGAACAGAGCAGATTCCATTTTGTTATTTTCAAGCTAACAAAAGACACAAGATTTCTATCTGTAAAACTAACCACTTTCCCAGAGCTAAAGGAATGCATAGTATATACAAACCAAGTGATAAGGAGAACGGGGGTTGGACAGACTGTCTAAATGCTAATGGAATATAATCAATTCTAAACCCAGACATTTGTGACAGAGAAGATTAAATAATTTAATTTTACTTTTTATATTATATAACCTCCCATTGTAGTTTAAGGTGAAACTTAGTTTACGAACTGTCATATTAGAAATTATAGCAGGAATTGCAGACACTAAGTCTGGACAAAACTAAGAAAAAACCCTTTGAAGTGAAAGAAAACATAAGTTATGGCAACTATAAAGATAAAGCAAAATGACGTCAAAATAGCCACCAAGAAAAGTTAACTCTTTCCTGGATAGGTATGTTTAGTGGGACAAGACTGCCCTCTATAGACCAAATACTAAATTGCTATCTGGAAGGTAACCACACCTCCAGTGTTCCTATTGGTCTATCAACTAGTGAATTTTCCCTTTAAAAAGTTAAGACAGAGGGAAGAGAAGGGGCAGAAAAGAAGAAAGAGGGAGGCGAGGAATACAAGGGTATACAAAGGAAGCAAAGAAGCGAGCAGTCGGGAGCAATGACACTCTGGACACTCAGAAATTCCTACACACCTCCATGCAGAGAGACATCCAAATAAGTTCCTGAGACTACCTACCAATCTGAGGAAATATCTACTCAACTGGTAATTATACTGGTTTCATTTAATTATTTAAATTAATTAAAATTTACTAATAGCATGATATATGACTGGATAAATCACGGTCAGATTTTCATATTAAGAAATCTTAGTTAACTAAAGAATATATAGTTATAAACATTGCATTCTGCAGGTGGAATTAAGAATGATTATATATTAATGTGATAGTATCACATGTTAGCATACTGCTGTTTTTATCCAGGTGTATTGATTTGCTCTAATATAAAATAAGATATCTTTTAGACAAATTAAATTCGGCTTTTGTAAAAATCTGGTAGATTGTTCTTATTGGATGGTTCCAGGAAATGACTAATGAGCTGATTTAAATGTTATTCTATTTAAAATTACATAAGTATAGGATACTATATGCCTAGGAGGATCTAGCCAGCATTGAAAGGTTTATTCAGTTGATCTAACTGTTAGCCAGGGTTTTATGGCCCTTCGCTGTGAAAAGCTTTGCTTTCTGTGTCTGTAAGGATACCTCATAAATCGTGTCTTGACAGAAAATGCTGTTTAGCCATTGAAACGTGTATACCCATTCCATTGTATTGCATATCATTTTATACTGGATATGTACTGATTATCATCATGCATGTTACATATTATTATTGTTAATTATTGGTCATAATAAATAAATCTATTTTTATAACACATTGTGATCATTAATTGTATGGAATACTTTTCACATACACGATAACGATCTTTGGGATCTGAGAATTGAATTAGTGGGCAATTCTCACTGTTTACTATTATCATCCCATAAATATCCCCACAGTGTGGACGCTGTTACTTGAATTGCGTGTGAAGGAGGCTGTCTTTGGTGTATTGTACAAAATATGTTCTGTATGTGGTGTGACGTATAGGGTTGTTGTGTGTCGATGGGATTGTTTGTAGTGTGTACACAGAAGGACGGGATGGAGTGTTTTGTAGTATGTATGTACAAGGTTGTTTGTAGTGTGTATTTGTGTGGAGGGGCTATATGAAGTGTATGGATATTGGTGGTTTAAAATAAATAAATAAAAGGTCATTCAAAATTTTTTGATTTTTTTTTTTCTAGTTGGCCTCATAATTACATAGTTACATAGCTGAAAAGAGACCTGCGTCCATCAAGTTCAGCCTTCCTCACATATGTTTTTGCTGTTGATGCAAAAGAAGGCAAAAAAAAAGTTTCAAGCTAGGAAACAAATTCCTTCTTGACCCCAGAATGGCAGTCAAATTTATCCTTGGATCAAGCAGTTATCTGGTGAGCAGAACATGTCATCACCTGGAGTGGTGATAGATCACTTGCATTGCTCCTTCAACTCCAGCGCTTGTGAGAGTATAAAACTTTACCATGGTAACCTGGTGGTAATGCTCTGATACATTCAGAGAGGAGAGCTGGTGGGAGCAACACATATGCTTCCTACCTGGTAATTGTGTGCTGGGCTGATCAGGGAGATTTCCCCATTAGTCACTGGAACAGTAGAATACCATATTTTGGTTGGAACTATTGTAGTATCAGCACTGTATGGACAGCGTTGGCCCACATATGTTGCCTCTGCCTGATGGTTCGTTTTCCAGAACAGGAGATTAAAACTTCTAAAGTAAGTAAGTAAACATCTGATTGAAAGTGAACTCATTTTGTTTCATGAAGGCTGTGTCAGTCACAGGGGAGCTGTGGCTACATCAGCATAAACAGAAACAAAAGTGATTTGTCTCCTAAATGGCAAAGAATTGAGACTGCAGGGGGCATGATCTATACACTAAAGCTTTTTTGTGTCTATAGTGTCTCTTTAAATATAATTGTTTAATACAAGAGCCTAAATCATTTAAACACAGAATCATGACATCACTGAGCAAGAAACGTCTGAGTTAACCATTTTGACAGGATAGAAAGACAGCTGCTGGATCAGCGCTAGGTGACCAACTAGAAAAAATATATTTTAGACAGGCAGCAAAACCTAAAAGTATGAGGTATCCCTTACAGACCATCAAAAAGAAGTAGTAGTACAATAAAACCGTTGTTAGGTTGCGCCACAGTTCTTTTTGTTAAAGGTATGATAAGAAATATTGTACATGTCAAATATCAAGCTTTACAGTCCAACGATAATATATGGAGGTTAGCAGAAAGTCCTGGTTATAATGATGAGGCGTAGACCAATTGTATTTTTCTTTTGTGGGAGTCTTGAAGTCCCTGTTTCATTTGATCCAGTTAAAACATAGAGTAAGGTATTACACAATACATAAGGGAAACATTAACAGAACCGGGGCAGGACAAGATATGACTGTCCTTGGACTGGGAATACAAAATAAAACAAGACAAGATATAATAGCCAAAACAAGAGGAAACATAACTAAGTACTATATGTGAAAAACTATGGGGATTTAGTTACATTATATGATCATACATTGCATAAGCCTGCTACAACGTCAATGCACCCCATATTAGGCAGGTCCTACTCTAACTGCATAATGCCTGCTAAATGAACAATAATAAATCGCACGCACACAGCACTTACCTGCAAGAAAAGGCAGAGGACTTGAGCAACTGCCTGCAGGGACCAACTGAAACAAAAGGAATCATGAAAAAGGAACGGGTGTGGCAACATAAAACAAACATTTAAAGGAATCCAAGAGAGTGGGAATTGCAGGAATGAACCCAGAAAATCCAGCATAAAGACATGGAATAGAAAAATCAAGAAAAACTAAACAAGAATTGTAAAAAGAGTACTGGATACCAGAAGCCGTAGCCAGAATGATGCGCAGCTAGGAACAGGATGTGACACCCATTGTGTCTGGGATCAATTCAATCTTATCCAATCTTTCTAAATATATAGATATCCTACTACAACATTCAGTCAAACGTATGTGATCCTACCTCAAAGACTCTATGACTTTTTCTAACATTTTTAAATGATTTTACCTGGCGCAAAGACTATATCTTAGTTACGTGTGATTTCCAATTGTGTTATACTATTATACCTCATAATAAAGGGATGTCAAGCAATTCTAAAAATTTTAAAAACAGAAAATTTTATCCCAGAACATCAAATAGATTGTATTATACAAGGTATTCAAATGATTTTAACTAATAACTATTTTTGTTTTTTAGATTAGTTTTATATCCAAAAAATAGGTAATGCAGTGGGAACGAGGTTTGCACCCAGCTATGCCAACCTCTTTATGGCCGATTGGGAATCCTTAACCATCTGGGGGGAACATAGCTGGCAGGGAAATCTGGTTTCCTATTTCCGTTATATTGACAACCTGTTTTTTTATCTGGCAAGGCTCAGAAATAGCTCTCAAAGAATTTTTAAATCATCTTAATTCTAATGATAAAGGCATAGTCTTGACCTCAGAATATAGCAACACATCAGTTAACCTTTTAGATCTTAATCAAGATGGATCCATTCAAACCAAAACTTTTCTTTAAAAAGTATGCACAAACACCAGTCCAGGAGACATCACAAACCATGGCTTAAAAAATATTCCAAAAAGCCAATTCTTTTGCCTGTTGTGGATCAGAAATGTTGATCTTTCTTATATTCAGAGGAAGCCCAAATTGTTGTTACAAGTGCACTTGGAGAAGCGAGAATTAGACACCAGACACCTGTTGGTATTCAAAATAAGCCTCTGATGTTTTATTCATCAGCTGGGTTTTATACATTAAAAAGTAAGTGCTTACGTGCAAATACTCTTAGAACAGTAATAGGAAGAGAATACAGATAAGACATAGGGATGAGCGTCATGTACACATAACAAATAAGTTTCAAGGTAAGAGAGAACAAAATGATTAGAGCAGAGACATCTTAGGTGGGGGCTCTCTGCTCCCGGAACTTAGACATATATGGTCTTAAGTGTTGTTTAAGCATCAAGCATTTCCTGAGTCCAATTTAGCCAATTTTAATATAGGATATCATTATATGACACCTATAAGCTTGAGCCTTGGAATCAAGATAAATTCTATCACACGCCTTAATCGAAATTGCTCCCAAATAAAAGATTTTGAAGCTCAAACCACTCTTAAAAAAAAAAGATGTTAATTTGAGAAAAATTATCCATCGGAAAACCTTGACAAAGCTCTCAATATAGTAAAAATTAAAGATAGGAGGGGGCAGGGCCTGACCGCCGGTCGGATCAGACATGCTCCGGCCTCTGAGCTTGAATACCGGAGCCAACTGCGGGCCGCAAACAAGAAACCAACCTGAAACTGTGCTCACTGCACCACCAAGACGACTGCGACCCAGGGGATACCCAACAGGACCGTCCACGGCGCCAAAGTAACCAGGCCGAGGACTGAGGCCTACGAGCTTGAGCCAGGAGAGACGGCCGCTCTCCTGGTTCTTCGGCCGGCGGTCTGCCGCTCCCTCCCCCTCTCTGGACCGGGGGGGTCATCCCGGTATCCATGGGCAGCCGCCATCGCAAACCGTACCGCCTTCACTTCGGCCACACCGAGCAGTGAGGTCCGGACATAGAATCCCAAGATGGCCGACCACACCCATCCTGTGCACAACACGCAGCAGCTCCTGCAAAAAGCCCTATGCCAACACGCCTAACACCTGCAACGGCGGAGGAGGGGAATGTGGAGACGGAGGGAGAGCAGGGGAAGAGCAGGACCTTCCTGGGCGCTCTTTTACCAAAATCAATACTGCTACAGAGTGGGCCGACCTGCCGGCTATCCAGCGGCCCCAGCAACCCTCGACGGACAGAGAGCAGCCCCACATGTGGAAAACCACAAAGCACACAGCGATGCCTCCCAGAATGCAGCTATGTTGTTGGCAGGCGGGTGGAACTGACAGAAAACCCATCCACAACCCACCGGAGATGGAATCCCTATGGGGCACCTACCCTGCCATGCAAGACAAGCCACCAAAATGGGCATCGGATGACGCAATCCCGACCGGTGCACCCAGAGGCCCGCAGCTTAGGACCCTCACAGAGACTTTTACTCCACCCGCAGAGGAAACAACTGTGCTTTTTCAACACAGGGCACGAAATGAAGCAGCCACTGCAGAGCCTCACAAAACCAATGCTTTACATACCCGGGTGATGCTTTACATGTTTAATCCGCTTTGTGATGCCTTGTCGTAGTATGCATAGGTCTCTAATACTGTCACAGAGGTGCAGGCCATAAGGGGTTAAAGCAGACCACCTTCCTATATAAACACTTGTTATTGCTAAACTGGCTGCTTCATAGCTTAGAGTACATTTACACCTCACTTCAAGGATTATAAGAATGTGGAAGTTTTCCTGGAAATGGTCTGCAGGGATATTGATAAAATAAATCCCAAGGATCTGGACTTTAAGTCTAGTGGAAACCTTACAAATACTGAGGTAAAAGCGCTCAAATCACTGCGCACCAACATGAATATAATTATCAAACCCTCCGGTAAGGGGGGCAATATAGTCATAATGGATCAACCTCAATATATATCTATGGTTAATTGTCTTTTAAGTGACACTAAGACATATCAAGTCCTACAAAACGTTCCCACTAGTGAATATATTATTGAAGTGAAAAGCTTACTGTCACAAGCACTTGACGACAAATTCATCACAAAAGATGAATTTAAATTCATGTTCACAAGATTTCCTATGACATCCACATTCTATAGCCTTCCAAAAATTCACAAGTCTTTAACT